TTCAATTGTAGATGGCTGGACAAAGAAGCTAGGAGAACATGGAGATGAAGGTTGAACTGACTGAAGAAGCTAGTGTACCCATTCTTGAGAAGAGGGTCAAGAACCTGCCACATAAGCGATTCTATACTTGGATTCTCCACCCTTCTCTGCTGAATCAATGAACCATATCCTGAGGGATGGTGTCGAACTCCTCGCCAAAAATCCAAGGCGCGCGTCATCGTTCGTGTTCGTGCGAGTGTGGGCGTCCATTACCGACTCATTTAAAAAAAAACCAGATGAAAACGTGCGACGATGTCAAGATCTCTCGTATATCTCTACTCCCGATGGAACTGAGTGACGAAGTCGCGGTGCGGCTGAGAACCCATGAGGACTTCGAAGCGTTCTGTTGCGCGTTCGAGGCGAGCGACGCCGCGTTCGTGCGATGGGCGCGCGCGTACTCCGACAGAAACGGGACGACCCCGCTCCACCTCGCGGCGAAGGGCGGTCGATTGCAGGTCGTGGGTCTGTTATTGAAAAAAAAAGACGAAGTCGACGCCAAAGACAGAAAACAGAGGACCCCGCTCCACCTCGCGGCAACGGGCGAGATCGCGAGCCTGCTCCTGAACGCGGGGGCGGAGGTCGACGCCAGAGACAAATACGGCTATACCCCGCTCTACCGCGCGGCGCGGGACGATCGACGCGATGTGGCGAGCGTGCTCCAGCACCACAACGCAAACCTCTACGCCGCCTCACGACATGGGTGGACCCCGCTTCACACAAAACTCCTGCGATTCCTTGAGTGATTCCGATGTAGATACGCGCTCCTGCACTCTCTGAATCAGCTCGTCAATATTTATATTTATTTGTATCTTCCAGTCTGAACATTACCCTGGAATTAACCCACTCAGACTACGATTGGAAGAGTGGATTGAAGAGATCCGGTCCGAGTGTGAAGCATTCATGGTGATACTGAGACGGGTCGTCCATCTCGCAACCAGACTTTAGAAGTTCCTTGATTATGTCCCGCATTTTTGGAAGAAGTGCTACGAGATTCCTTCGAATTGTCGACATTGAGTGATGGATGATTCTGTATGATAGTTGGACATCAGAAAAAAAGAGACATGGAAAAGACACTAACACCAGTTGGTTCTGGTAGACCTCTTGCAAGTAAATGGCTGTCCCCTCCAATCTGCACGGATCAGTCAGTCTTATAGAACCAAGAGACTTGATAACTTCTTCCATTTCCTCCCATGTCCCTTGAAGCATGTAAACACCTGTGGGGTTGAGTGGGGCTTCCGAAATAGATTATGATTTCCCTGTCATACTCTACACTGGTCCTATGAAGCTGAAGTAAGTGTTTGGCAGGAAAGAGAGGAATGAAAGGTAGTATGGCGGGGCGAGATGGGTAAAAGGATGAAGCGTGCATCAATATGTATCATACAACTCATTGTATAAAAATTCATTTTTACAGCTAAAGACAGAACGAAGGCCGAAGACAGAAAACAGAGGACCCCGCTCCACCTCGCGGCAACGGGCGAGATCGCGAGCCTGCTCCTGAACGCGGGGGCGGAGGTCGACGCCAGAGACAAATACGGCTATACCCCGCTCCACCGCGCGGCGCGGGACGGTCGACGCGATGTGGCGAGCGTGCTCCTGCACCACAACGCAAACGTCCACGCCGCCTCACGACGTGGGTGGACCCCGCTTCACAATCCCCGATCGCGATGTTGCAGACGACTTTTGTCATGTTGTCCGACACGAGGCTCACGCATTACGGGTGGACCGCAAAATGCGTAGACGTAGACGGTAAGGTCGTCTTGAATAACCTCTTTGCGTCTCT